TGTTTGAGTGAAGAAGTTTGCCACCACCACCGTGAGGTGGTGGCTGCCACCGTGAGTCGTTGTCGACCACCATTGCACAGTGGCAGTGGGTGGTGTCTGACTTGGTGAAACCCTAACCAGCCAAAAACTTAGCTTTTGGGCCTAATTGGCGTGTTTTGTGTTGGAAACCCTAATTAGGGTTTAGAAAACCCTAATCTTGGAGATTTTAATTTGGACTTGCCTGGACCCGCATTTTGGACCATTAGATTGGACTTATGAATTAAGCCCGACCACACTGTATGATTGACCTAGTAGATTGATGGACTTAATGGATTAATTCCTTAATGGGTTAAGTGTTTCTAATTAACCCTAATTGTTGCTTATTGTGTTGGGTTTTGAGTTGGGCCCTAATGTTGGGCTTTGGTGACTGGGCTATTGATGGGTCATCCAAAAACAAGTATATGGACTAGAATATTTGGATTGGGCTTGAGGATAAGGCCTATTGGAAAGGCTTGGGCCCAATTTGGAAAATTGGGCCATAGATGGGCCATAATTGGGCCTTGATGATTATGAGATATTGGACCATCAGAATGCCAAGCGGTTGGACTAGAATAAATGGTTGGGCCATAAGGTAAGACCATGTCAAAGTTTGGGCCCAATTTGGAAAATTGGGCCATATGTTGGGCCTTGGTTGATTATTTGGCTTTTGGGCTTTCAAAGTGTGAAATTGGGCCTTGGTCTTGAACCAAGCTAGGATAGGGGTAAAATGGTCCTTGTACCCCTAGTGTGGATTTATGGTTATGCATTGAAACCCAAATGGTTAATTGGGTTTGTTTTGATGTTGAGAGTTCGGGGATCTGTCATCCAGCAGCTAGAGTTTTATCCGCGGGACTTCAGCAGTGCGAGGTGAGTTTTCTCCTGTAGGAACGGGTCGAAGGCACCAATGTCAGCCCGTTTATGTATGTTAGTATGTCCCGGACTAAGGTCTGATGCCGGGCGTGGCCCGATGTAGGTTTATATGTTTTCCAGGTTTCAACCCGATGCCGGGGTGGTACCTGATGAATGTTTGTATGTTTGATGTCTTTGTGATTCTTGCATGTGTTTGTATATGTATGTTTCCGGACTACGGTCCGATGTCGGGGCGGTTCCCGAGGAATGTTTGTATGCTTTTCGGATCTCGGTCCGATGTCGGGCGGGGCCCAAGGAATTTTTATACGTCCATGATTAGGTGATTATGCTTATGTTTATGTGTATTAGTAGATATGCTCATACGTATGCCGAGCTTTGCTCGATGCCGGGCGGGGCCCGATGCCGGATGCGGTGTGATGCCGGGCAGGGCTTTATGTCGGGAGAGGCCCGATGTAGTAGGGCGGGGCCCACGATATGTGTTATGTGATTATGTGATATGTGTATGGTATGTGATAGTTTGGGGAGCTCACTAAGCTTCGTTCTTACGGTTTTCAGTTTTGGTTTCAGGTACTTCTAGTAGCAAGGGGAAGAGCTCGGGATGACTGCGTGACACACACAATTTATGTTTAGCTTGGGATGTTTTACTCTGATTTATTTGACATGTGATTGATATGGATATGCTGTTTTGATACTGGAGATATTATGGTTTATGTTTTGATAAATGATTTATAGTAACACTACTAGAAAACAGCCCTTTAATGACGCGCAAACAATGACACGCGGTGATTTACGATACGCAAAAGTGTGTCCTTTATCCTTCAAATTTTAGAAGAGATGACATTGTTTTTAGGGCACACGCTTTTGGGTATCGTAAATCACCGCGTGTCATTGTTTGCGCGTCATTAAAGGGCTGTTTTCTAGTAGTGTTACTATAAATCATTTATCAAAACATAAACCATAATATCTCCCGTATCAAGCGACATTTGTGCGTGCCCTAAAATTAATGTCCAACAAAAAAATTAAAAACACGGATGGCACTTATTTAAAAATGGGCGTCGTCTAGAAATGTCGCTTTATATTTTTTTAATGAAAGGCGCGTTCTCTTCTTTTGCAGCTGGGGGAAACGAAAATCCCAAAAGTTTAAAAGCCTGCCATTGTTATCCTCTACCTTATTTCCATCGTTCTTTTCTATCTCTCTATCTCTATCTCTCTCACTCTAATACCCAAAAAAAACCCTAATATCATCACCAATCCTCTTTTCTCCCACAACAAAATCGCAATATCACCAAATCTCTGATCCCGTCTTTTGAACAGATCAAACCCGCAGGGGTTCTCGATTTCTCTATGTTGATGTGTGGTGACACGAACAAAAAAAAGAGCGTAGCGCCTCTACCTTTCAATTTCATTTGTCGGTTGCTTCAAATCGACTCTTACTTTCTCTCTCACAGGGGTTTCTTTATGCGTTCCCTTCACCTCCGTTGATGTCGTTTTCCAAGGCCAGTCTGGATAATCAGCATCATTGGTAAGTGGATACTTGCGTGCTTAACTCCTCTCAACCCTACATCAGCCTCACCTGATAATGTGATTCACGAAACGTCGTCGTTTGCTGATGAAAGCTGCTTTCTTACTTGCTTCCGGTCAGCCTGACATCACGTTGAGACGGAAGACTTGGTGGTGGGTTTTCCTTGTGGTCGGTGGAGTTTCTCCCAATGATGCTTTCTACTCTTACATCCCCTTTAATCGACACCTCTTCTTCTTTACTGCTTACTCACCCTAAATCAGGTAATACCGACACCGACCTAGCGGTGAGGTTTCCTTCTTGACAGTGGTGGAGTGTCTCCCCAAAGCTACTTGGTTTGAAGCGCCAATGAAACGTTCCCTTTCCACCTCTACTTTCGTTTGCCGACTCACCCTCTATTAATACTGTCTATTAATAGCTTCATTCGCCAGCTCCTGATGTGGGTTTCAGTCGCCATCTCCTTATTTTTTTGCTACTTCTCTCTCTAGACAACGCTTCGGGTGAGGTTTGAATTCAATTTATTATTCTATTATATATGCTTTATGATGCTTGCAAATTCAAGGGTTTGCATGTTGGTGCTTCATAGTTGATATCCCTTATTTATTAGGTATGGTAGGGATTGGTCTTGAAGAGGAATGAAAACCAGCGATTCATGGTTCAAACATTTGTCGAAGTCATAGGAACAGACAATATATATCTGATGTCATATCGGTTCTTTGTTGGACCAATGTCTTCTATCTTGTTCACTAGACAAAAGGATAAAAGTTTTGATGCTTTCACTTTGTAAGATGATATATATGCTATCTGTTCTTGCAATTACAGCAAAACGTATTTCACTTTGTGATTCTAATTGGTGCAAAAGTAGAAGACTATGCCTAATCCACTAATTGATTTCGGTGTTCTCTAGAAATTTGGTTAGGGTTTACTAACTCATATATTGTTTTAACTGTTTTGATTCAGTTCGTCTTTATATTCTATTTGACTAAGGGTTATTGTTAATGACCAAACAGTAGCCGGAGGGGGAAGAAGCATCAGGGGAGGTAGGAGGTAACCAGAACAAAGCGACTTCAAACTGTTACGGCTTCATGCTAGCTGAAATATGGAAGTTTCTTGCCAATTTGAAGAGAGAAAGAAAGGTATCTGTTTGTCTTTCACAATTTCATTTTTTTTCAGCGTATGGTTATGTTTTCTCATTTTTATAATAATTTTCATAACATTCTTATTTGGTTACAAATATTTTGATTTGGAAGTGCAGTAACTAGCTTCAATTGGCAACAGGCTTCTTCTAATCCTCGTGACTGATTTGAAGTTGTATTTAATGGGTTGGTAATGGTTTACTCCTACCCTTTGTTCGGGACAGCTGATATTTCTGGCTACCGTTCTTAGTAACAGGTGAGCAAAAAAACATGTTCTAATTCTATTTCAGATTTAGTATAAATTAAAAGAATAATCTTTATTGGTCAATGTTGTTTTAACCAGTTTTTGTTTCCCATATATTCAATAGAATATTGGATTTCCTCTACAGGAGAAGGTCAATATTTGGTTATTTTGGGCACTGGTAAGTAAATGTAAATCCCCATAGTTTGGTCAAACTTTAGGAACTCATGTCACTGCTTTCTCAGGGCATACATTCTTGAAGATTCGTATAATCAATAAACATATCTTCATTGTTTTTCTTGTGCAGCTGCTGTGAGGAAGGATATCTCCGATGAGACTGATCGTGAGACAGGACGAAGCAAACAGATTTCATCAGTTCCTATGCATCTTTGGGTTTCCACCTGGCAACTGCCATTTCCACAGTGGCCCCACCGAGGTCTGCTAGTTGTTGAAGGATATAAGGCCATATTTTTTTAAACAAACAAGAAAGCTTGATAATACTTTGAAAGCAGTTTCAAAAACTGGAAAAGTTGAGAGTGTTGCAAGAGGTGAAAAACTTGAAAATGCTGTTGTGGAGACTGATACTTCTTTGGAATCTTCAGCATATGCTTCATTGGGACGGAAGAGACGTGCTTGGGTTACTGTTAATACCGGTATGGCTCTCACTCTTAATACCTGAGCTCTCTATCAAATTGCTTATGATATTTTGATTAGCTTAAAACTATAGTTGAGGTATTTGTTTTGAGATGTTATATTAGCTAGAGATTATTCTATGCTCTCTGATATAGTGATAGTAAAACTTTTATATTAGCATACATGTGTTAACTCATTTAAGATTTAGGGTGTAGATTACTTTCTTACTATTCGGAGGTTGTAGAACTAAATTAGATGATACACATAGATATACAATCATTTCTTGCTTATTTAAGTTTCATTTAGTTCTGAATGATAGTAAATGACCATTTTACCCTTTTGTCCGGAATTAGTACCTAATGAAAAAAATGACTTTCTTGTTTGACAACTGCTTGTAATATAAGTTATAAACGACAATAACTTGTAAATATATAAAATAGTTAATGGAAAATGCATTGGGGTTTTGACTTTTTAGGTGCAGTTAGCAAATGAGAAGCAGCTTGTTGATCATTACAGCTCCAAGCATCCAAAGGAGAAGCCTCCAAGAAACTCTGAATGATCTGATCTGTATGCATTTGAATTGATGCAAAGGTTTGTGTTATCTGTTTTTCTTTTTCATTTGCATGATGATGATATGTCTAGTGTTTCTTTTGCTTTGACATTTTCATTTCTGCCAAAACCGAGTATAAAAATGTTTGTTAATATGGGTAATAAAATAAGTCTACTGAGACGATCAAGAAAACTTATTGCAATGGTTGCTAAGGCTCCAATTTGTGAATTAAGTTAATTCAGTATGTTTATGTGTTTTTTGGGCATTCTGATCATGTAGGTGTTCAAAACAATAGAAAATTTTTAAACATATTTATTTATTTTAAGACTCATTTCACCATTTTTGTGATTACATACATAATGGCAGGTTGGTGACTCAGCAGAGACCTGAATGTAAAGCCGTATTACAAGAAGTTACTCAACTTGTTGAAGAAAAGCTTTCATCAAATAGCAAAGCATTGAAGACCACATTTGGTGCTACTCAGGTAATAGATATGGGGACAGTGTTTGACTTTATGAACTGTCATGTTTGACTACTAAAATATCCTTTTTCAGCTGAAAATAGATGGCGACTTTTTGTATTTTCTAGAAGAGGCTGCATCTATAGTTGTAAGTATATTTTTTTACACGTGTATTTAATCTCCTCGTTGATGTATATTAATGTGACATGATATTTGAATCTTTATAGTTTTAATATGGGGATCCAGATAAACTTTGCACCCTAATGACTGAAGCTAAGAAGGCTGGAGAGGATCTAGTTGTAATTGACTTACAAATCTCTTTGAAAATCTTGTTCTCAAACCTTTTTTTATATTAACAAAGAAGCAATCTTTATGCAGAAAGTGTATGCAAAATACATGAAGGAATATTATATAGGAAGTTAAGCAGGTGTTGAATCGTTTAACCAAGAAAATCTGAAAAAGACAAACCCAAATGTGTATGAATCTGCTAAACGGTTATGGTGGTTCCAAGTTTGTAGTGAAGTTGCATATTTCCAGGTGGCACCTTCAAATGATAGCATCTGTTCTTCAAATATTGACATAAGGCATGTACATATCAACAAATGACACATTTTAATCATTAATATATAATCCAAGTTTCATGATTTTTTATTTTAATTAACAGGTATCATTTGGATCTATGCAAAAATGTATTTGGAGAAGGTGTGTATCCAGTTGTTGATGCAACAAATGTTTACTATGGGGGCAAAAACATTGTTGGTATGAACTATGAAAATTACTATTTATATGTAAATTTCAGGGTTAATTTATTTTTGGTGAAATTGCATGAAATATATATGTATGATCAACATTAGGTACACATTAGATTTTCTGAAATATTTAATAAAAAAAACTCCCACTTGTTGAAATTTTGAAATATTTAATCAAAAAATGCCCAACATCTCACATGCATATATTGGTGATGCATGTAGTGACTGAGAAGAAGTAAATGTATATGGTGATGTTGGTGTTTAATAATCTGTTAATGAGATGAGAGGGAGAGGGAGAAGTAAGACTAACCATATATTCAAAATCCTATTTACAAAATGATCCAAATAATCATTTTCCTAAGCTTAGTGGCCTAATTGGTATTGGAGAAAATAGACAAAAAAATATAGTTGGATGCCATACCAGCTCTATCATATCATCTTGTATTGTATTGCATGTTAAGTTACCGATTTGCCATGTGCAGGTTCTCATAGCTCTACCAACCTCCTTCCATGCCTTGAAGCCTTTCAAAGTTCCTGCATCAGGTTATTCTTTATAGAAAGGAAATTGTCAAAGGAGATTTTAGTCATGGGTTTCTTTTAATGTTGTACATGTTTTGTTTTCTATAATAAATATTATGAAATATTAGCAACGTGTTACATTTACTTACTATTGGAATGATTATTTGTATTTGACATATTAGTGCAATGAATTATCTTTATTGTTTATGGTATTTTATTTTGTATTATGAGACTTATAATGTGTTATTTAATTTGAAAATTAGTAAATCTATCAAAAATAAATAATTTTAAAAACATTTAAAATTATGACATGCAAAAATGTGTGACTTCTTCCTTATGACATGGGCTTCCTTGATACGCATTGCGTGTCATAAACACGCGTGTTGTAAGGTTACGACACGCAAATGCGTGTCGTCTTCCTTTATTACAGGGCCTTCCTTGATACGCATTGCGCGTCATAAATGTGCGTCGTAAATGCAAGTCATAAATGCGCGTCGTCTCTCGTTATGACAGGGCCTTCCTTGACACGCATTTGCGCGTCGTCTGAGCGTTTTACGACGCGCATTACGCGTCGTAAAAGGCTGTTTTTCTAGTAGTGTAAATCTGGTTTAATTAGTGATTTAAAAATGAAATTTTTGGACTGTATTTTTGGGGTGTTTCAAGTTGGTATTAGAGCCTTGGTTTGAGGGATTCGGACACACTCTCGGGTGTGTGTGAACTCAAACTGAGGACTTGGTATAAAATTTTCAAAAGAAAAAACATTTTTACAAAAAGGATTTAGAAAAGAGAAAAAGGGTGTGGTGCATGCAATCAGTCAAGTTCAAGTAAGTACTCCCAAATTACCCATACAAGTTTATGTTATGACATGATTATGAGAACTGCATGCTAGATTAGGGCTAAGGATCTAGGAATGATGCCTTGTATGCCTGTTATATGTGTATGAGAACTGCAAGCTAGTTTAGGGCTAATGATCTAGTTAGGATGCCTTATGTGCCTGCTGTATGAGCTTATTGAACTGTATGCTAGTACTGATTAGTCAGTAATATGATGGCCTGAGTAGGATATGCTTGATTATGTTTACTCAATGCTTGAATGCTGCTTTCTTTGTGCTTTTAGGAGTTCTACTTATTTTTTAACTAACTAGTAAACAAATATGTTAAGTTACATATTATGAGGACTAAATAATTTCAGAAGGTTAGGTTCAGCTCTATTTCGCAGCTCTTGTCTGAGTCCAACCGTTGTAGGGTAGGACCTCTCATTCGAAGAATTATCTGGTCTTAGTAATATGTAATGGTATTCGCGAGCTAGTTAGGGTGAGATAACAGGGACTTCTTATGCAGCTGATGGCGGAGAGTGGATTGGTAATTACCCTAGGGCAAGCCTAGGATGAGATTAACGTGAGAACAACAGTAGGAGTCGAAGGGACTTGGTGGAGTCAAGACAATTCTTGAGGAAAGTACGGATATATGTGGAAGGTAGTATGGGCCCGTACTACTGAAAGCAGAGGATCTGTACTCGAATCAAGGAAGGATGTGATGAACCCAGGAAACTTGTAGTATGTGAGATCCCTCGAGTTATGATGAGTATTCTAATGATTTTTATGGTATATTTCCGAGTATGGTGACGCTACGTGGTAGACTAGATGGTAGTTCTGGTGCCGGCGAGGGATCAGGCTCGGACCCTGGAGCCGGGTAGCTCAATGATCGGATGAGGAAGTTCACCTCATCTGAGATTACGCGCAGTATCATTGACCAGACTCCTATGATCTTCAGTATGGTCAAGGAGGGTATTTTGGAGATTTGTGATGAGAGGCGGGGTGCTTTCCGTACCGAAATGGCGGCCATGATAGGGACGCGTACGTTGATGTTTCGAGAGTTCAGAGCTTCTAGAGTTCTAGATTATCATGGGGCTAGGGACCCCCTTTGCTAGCAGTAGGTGAATGGCAGATGTCGCCAACATTTTTGTACCAGTCGTAATCCCGAATGGGACAAGGTTCGACTTGCTTCCTGCCTCCTGAAGGATGGGGCACATGATTGGTGGGAAGAGGTTGGTAGTGAGTTGGGTGATGATGCGTTTGATGCTATGTCATGGGATGACTTTTCGACCAGAATCCGGGCAGAGTTTTCCCAAGCGATTGAGGCGCAGCAGTTGGCACAAGAGTTATTAGATCTCCGCCAGACTACTGAGACCGTGGCAGAGATCACTGCCAAGTCTCGGGAGATAGCTTATTTGGTACCACAGTATGAAGCAGATGAGGAAATGAAGAAGGTAAGGTATCATGACATACTGCATAATGATATTAGGGAGATCGTGAGTATCTCGGGGTGCGAGACCCTGAATGATATGATTTCTAGAGCTCGAGAGCTAGAGACTAATTTGGAGCACATTAGGAAGAGGGGACTAGTTCATGTGCATATATTGGAGGGTCCCGGGGAGAGACCCAAGAATTCGGATCAGCTTTTGAGAGGCCAGCAGAGCCAGATTCAGTGCAGCACTTGAGGGAAACTGCACGATGGAGTTTTTCGTTCCAAGAGCTTGGTTAAGTGTACACTTGGGTTGTTTCCTTGTTTGTGTTAGGTTTATATTTTCAAGTGAGTTCATATGCCATTTGCATGCCGAGGATTATTAGTGGTTAGCGAAAGGTCATTTCCCTAATTGCGGGTTGACAGTGTACAATGTCATCTGGTTTATGGTCGAGATCGGTTCAAGGGTGTTATATGGAAGGTCTGCGGTCAGAGTTCTGCGGGATGGTTATTCAACATTGTCAGGATTCGGTGGTATTAGTAACCGTTATTAACGGACTGATGGAAGCACCAAGGGAAGTAACTCGTTGTTGAGGTATTGGTTGGAGCATTTGTCTTTTGGTCTTCAAGATTCGAGTGTGGTATCATTTCAAGAATCACAGGCTATCGGTTTCGCTGGGATTCGGGAAGTGTTCATCTGGTTCTTAGAAGTTGTGTGATCTTTTTGGATTGGCTAGTAATGGAGCACTAATTGGTAAGAGCTGGTTGTCACCGGATCGATCGTTGGAAAGTGAGAAGGATTGGGAATTTTCCAATTTCATATATTATGAAGACTTAGTCAAATCTAAGTGGGGGAGAGTCATCCAGGGATTTAGAAGCGGAAGCAGTTTTGAAACCGGGATAAGTTTCACATCCTTGTTATGAAGGAAGACAACCCAAGCAACTATGTGGATTAAGGATAGTGTGAGTTGGAAGTTCGGAAAACTTGCCAATAATGAGATCGCATTCTCGGAATGTTTGATAGCAGGCTTTAGGGAATCAGGTTGGGGATTCCAGTCAGGTCATGAGTTTAGTTCTGGATGTTAGATCATGTGTGTGCTCGACGTTGGATGTGTTCAGATTGGTAATCAACGATTGAGACAGCATCGGAAGTGCTGTAAGACTGCGGGATAGCGGTATCAGTCACAGGTTCATTCAGATAAGTTAGGCCCGGGTGGGTCAGTTTGTAGGATTATGGAAAAGGCCATAGCATGTTGTTCCATACAGTTCCAGTGTGTTGGGCAGTATCCGGTTGAAATAAACCGAAAGGGTAGGCCGACCACCCAGATATGCTCGGCAGTATCCGATTAAAATAGACCGAAGGGGAGGCCAACACCCAGATATGCTTGGCAGTATCCGGTTGACATAGACCGAAGGAGAGGCCAACACCCAGATATACTCGACAGTATCCGGTTGAAATAGACCGAAGGGGAGGCCAGCACCCAGATATGCTCGACAGTATCTAGTTGAAATAGACCGAATGGGAGGCCAGCACCCAGATATATTTTGCAATATTAGTGTTTTCAGATTTCAGGTATGGATGGGTAACTAATTGCTTGGGTAATGCTAAGTCACTCACGGATTCCTTCAGATGATTTAGGCTAGGGCGGGTCAGCCGCACGAATGTGAGTAGGCTACAGTGTGATCGGATTCGGGAAACGGTAGGTTGTTGGAGACCAGGCATGATGTAAGACTACAATGGTTTTGGTAGCATTCATTTTTCGTATTAGATTCAATGGCAACAGGTAGTTGGACTGTCATGATCGGGAAGATCAGAAGGAATAAGGGAGCCATGAGTGGCAATATGGTTAGGGCAGATTTCGATGGCCGAAGTCCTCTTCAGAAGTCGCATGGGGCAACCGTGAGGTTACTCTTGGCTCAGCAACTGGACAAGAATTCAGTATTCTGGATAAGTTGGGGACCAGGGAGATATCGGTTGCCCTTGGAAAGCAGATAGGAGGCAACGTGATGCTTCGGACAATAGTAGTAACTTGGGGATTCATGTGTGTATGGAGTAGCTTGTTGATTGAAAGTGCTAAGTCACTTGCAGTTTGGATTAAATAATCTCAGAGTAATTGATTTGACCCTATTACGCTGGAGAGGATTATCATAAGCCTACTGTCAAATATAAGTGTTCTGTAGGGATTCAACAATAGTGATTCTATATGGGCGGTCTGTCAGGGAGTCAAACCATATCGAGACTTCAGACTTCATATTGAATAAATGTGATCACGTTGCAAGAATCCGTTCATTTTTGGGTTGTAGAGCCCTGCAAGGGTTGGCACCGGTTACCTCGATAAGGCTAGGGTATGCTCGGGATTGTGGCCATGACGCTCAAGTTGTTTGGCGTGACAGGAATTGTAAGGAATGATTTCGAGGACGAAATCTAATTTAAGTGGGGAGAATTGTAACATTCCGTTTATTAAATAAATAAATAGATAAAATTAATAAATGAATAGTAGCCCTAAATGCGGAATAATTTACCAAGGCGTTGGTTTTGGGGGTTAAAAAGTCATAATTGAGAGTTTGGGGGTTAAAATGTAATTTCTGTACTAGTTTGTAAAGAATTTTGAAGGTTGAGGGGTGTTTGGTAAAGTATGGATTTAATTTGAAAAGGATTTCAGAAGTCAAGGTATGATTGGTAATTTATTGGTAATTTTTTTGGACTTATTATGAAAGGATTTTTTTAAGATAAGGGGTTAAATGGTAAATATTGGAGTTATGTTGAAAAGTTTTGGTGGAGGAGGGGCCAAACT